TGTAAAATTACTTGAGAGATTAAAATAAATATAATATATAAAATAAATATAATATATTAAGTATAATTTTTTTTTTTTTTTTTTCTTTTTTTAAAAATAATTACCAAAAAATGTGTTCCTGTGGCTCAGTGGTAGAGCATTGCGTTAGCAGTGCAAAAGGTCGTGTGTTCGATTCCCAGGGATCGGTAAAAAAATGTATAGCCTGAATGCACTGTAAGTCGCTTTGGATAAAAGCGTCTGCTAAATGCATAGATGTAAATGTAAGGATCTTGATGGGTGCGGTGTGTGGTGTTTCAGAGCCGGAGCGGGTGTTCGGGGCCAGTCTGACGGCGGCACAGGTTCTGCTGCCCGGGAGTCAAGCCAGCATCAGCAGCATGCTACTGGAGGGTCACAGTCTGCTCGCCCTGTCCACCATCATGTTCAGACCAGGCGGCATGGACCAGGTCCTTCTGCTTCTGTCCTAGGGCTGGACCATTAATACAAAAAATTCAGAACCTCGAATTTTTGCCCCTTTTTAGACTTGCACTCTATTCATTTACTACAGTAACTGCTTGTTTGTCTTTAAAAAAAAAAAAAAAAACTAACGCTAGCTCAGGGCTCCAGACTAACATTTGAGAGTTCTGCAGATTTGGTAGCGCTGGTGGTGGTGTGCGTGAGTATTAAAATATAGATAATTTAATCATAAAATTACTATTGTTTTGCATTAATAAGTGCAGCTACTAATAATATTACATGTTTACATGTTCATTTCTTGTTTATTGTTTGTACAGATTTGACCGTAAAGCACTAAGCTTGAGTTGAGATGCATACAAAATTTACTTTTATTAACGACAGTAACAGGCGCAAAATCAAATTTTTATATATAAAATGTATGTATTCCACTCTTATTAAATGTACCATTATTCTTCTAGTATATGGAACTGACCAACTTCAGTGATTATGCATGATTTAGTAGCAAATCAAAGAAAAGTTTGTTTTTCAAGGCACTTTGTGACTTTTCTTACTTCATACACAAAAAAGTCTAAAATTCTGACAAAATCTGAATTCTTGATGATTTGATATTTTATTATAGTGAATTTATAATTTCTAAATATAGAGAAAAAGTAGAAATGAATGACTAATAAGCCAATAAGTGCTCCTCTGCTGCCCTCTACTGGTTATAATTGTGATTTGATGTTTTTTTGTTTTTATTTTACATAAGTGTTTGTTTACCACAAAGTATATTTTGGTCATCCCATTAAAAATAACATTCAAACTGGATAATTTTAGAGCTTTAAAGTGCTGGAAATAGTTGTGTGAAATGATTGAAAGTCATTGAAAAGTGCTTGAATTTCTCTCACGAAAGGTTGTACAAACCCTGAAATGAATGATGTAATTAATGCATTCGACTATTTCTACCACAACACCATGGTTACAGTTAGCGTTACCGTTTCTGGATTCCTGACGTATGTCAGCGCTGTTTATAACAGAGAATTCTGTGCAGAATTTGAATGATTCTCACACAATCTCGCAGCAACCTTATCAAACGCTTCTCACTGGATCTCGCAGCACTGTTGCATCTGTGCAATAACAGTCTCGCGAAATCAACTTTGGCTCCCGAGTAAAGCTGTTCTGAGCTCGGACAAGTTTGTTTGCGTCGCGGTCCGAGCTGATAAACGGTTTTGCGCTGCGCAGCTGAAACGTAGCGCAGTTTAGTTTCGCTTTCGTTTCGTTTGTCGTTTGATGTTTCTTAAATGCAACAGAAATGGCTGCGCTTATGAGTTGGACAACGTGGTGGTCGCGCCAGTGCGACCGCTCACAAAAATCAGTCGCACCGGCAGAAAAAATTTGGTCGCAGTCTGGAGCCCTGCTAGCTTCTCTATTCTTTTTATTCTTTTTGTATTATATTTCTTGTTTTTTTAATTTATTATACTATTAACAAAAAGCAAAAAAGGCCTCTAACACTAGCTTGCTCTATTCTTTTTCTATTCTATCGGTTTTCTTTTTATTTATTATACAAGTAAAAAAAAATTTTGCTATGTGTACTGCATTAAGCTAACTGACACTTGTTATAGCACTTGCTTATCATTGCTCTTAATGATATTAATAAAAACAGTATTATAAAGCAGAGAGTTCCGGTCCTTGATTCTGATTGGCTGAGCTGCATTCGAAGCTGTTGTAAATTACTCTACAAACGTACACCTTTGTTTACGTTTGCGTGTTGCTCGTCAACCACTTTGTTGCAACCACAACTGATTCTGAGGAACTACATTGTTTGGTGGAAGAATAAAGCAATAATCCCCAAGAAGCCGTGGTTTACAGTGAATTTATAACAGCTAAGGGGCGTTGTTAGATGTGAAGCGGAGTGCCTAAAACCCCCTTAGCTGTTATAAATTCACTGTAAACCACGGCTTCACGGGGCTTATTGCTTTTATAAAACGGTTATACCATATATGTAGTAAGGTTTCACAGAATAAAACAGAGCAAATAAAATGTAATATTAATAAAAACAGTATTCTTCCACCAAACAATATAGTTCCTCAGAAACAGTTGTGGTTCCAACAAAGTGTTTGACGAGCAACACGCAAACGTAAACAAAGGTGTACATTTGTAGAGTAATTTACAACAGCTTCGAACGCGGCTCAGCCAATCAGAATCAAGGACCGGAACTATCTGTTTTATAAAACTGTTTTTATTAATATCATTAATGATGATATAACGCTTCGCGTCATGCCTAACAACGCCCCTTAGCTGTTATAAATTCACTGTAAACCACGGCTTCTTGGGGCTTATTGCTTTATCATTATTTAAAACATTTGTTTACAGGAGATGCAAGTTTCTACTTTTCACATTGCATTTGTAAAAATAATATTCATTTGCAAGAGTTATTTTCTTCTTTTCACATGACAGTATCTAAAATTTATTTTGTTTGCATGAGATGCTGGTTATATTCTTCTTTTGACATGACACTATTCATTTTTGTTTGCAAAAAAAAAGAAAGATAAGAAATGCGCACTTTCGTTAGAAAAAATAAAGTTGAGGATTTTTACAGTACAGACCTTTAATGAACTATGAGGACAAAAAATTTAAATAAAATAAAATAATCGTTCAATAATCGTAATCGAGGTTTTGATTTTAGGTCACATCACCCAGCCCTATTCTGTCCCACACTAACATGAGGCTCGTGTGAAGTCTGCATGATTTCAGAAGTGCTGGCTTTATTCTTAAACAGAGTGGTTTTGTTTGTGTTGTTGGCAGGCCGTGCGCGAGGGCGAGCGCGGTCAGGACCCGCTGAGCAGAGTCGACCCGCAGCTGCTGCGAATGGCCCTCAGTGCGTATCCCAAACTCAGAGCGGCCCTGTTCCCTCAGAGCGGCCCGCGCTGCGACGTTTCCCTCTACCACCTCCTGCAGGTACTGCTGCACTTCCACCAACTCAAGCTGCACTCCTTATAGCTAGGGTTGGGTACCGTTCACGTTTTAACCGGTATGGTACTGGTATCGGTACCTGAATTTCGGTACCGGTACCCAACGGTAACTTTTTTCGGTACTTTACTCTCTCTCTGTGTAATTACATTTGTAGGGATGTAACGATTAACCGCGATAAATGGAGAGAGTGCATATATACACACAAATTATTATCTCAAATTAGCAAAAAAAACAAAACATGTATGTATGTGTAATATTGAAATGTAAATGTCTGTGGCATCAGGGTGTCTCTGGCTGCGGATCAGGCGTACTCGTTAGGCCTGTTGAACTTCAGCAGCGTGTGTGTGTCGGCAGCGTGTGTGTGTTTCTGCGAGCTGCTGGGTGTCTGTAGCCTCAAGCTGAGGGTGGATCTGCGCGCGCTCAACCTCGGCCTCAGACTCTGGACTCAGACCTGCGAGGACCACAGAGACGCCGCTTCACTGCAGCAGGAGCTCGGTACCCAAAGCACTGCACTCAGCCACGGCTCGGGGTTTGTTTGAGAGCTCTCGCTGACTTCTCTCTCTGTTCCAGTGGAAAAGGCCGGGAAGCTGGTCAGCGGTGAGAAACGAAGCGCTCAGGAGCTGCTGGTTCATCTGGAGACGGCAGTCAGAGACGCTCTGGAGAAGAAAGGCGTCTGTCGGTCAGTGTTCTGCATCAAAACACTGCATATTGTGGGGGGTGGGGGAGAAAATATATTTTAATGAGCAAAATGTTTTTTTTTTCCTAATATGGAAAAAAAACTAATTAAAGGGTTAGTTCACCCAAAAATGAAAATCAGCCCATGTTTTACTCACCCTCAAAGCATCCGAGGTGTGTATGACTTTCTCTTCTTCTCATACGTCCTACGTCATCCACCCGAGAAAAAAGAATTTATAACGTCTTAAATATGGATATTTTTCTTACAAAAACACATGGATTCGCTTCAGGAGGTCTTTATTCACCCCCCGGAGCCGTGTGAGGCACGTTTTATTACAGATGCACGCGCTTTATTTGACTTCTTGTGGACTGTTGAACAGAAACACACACCTTCTCCCATTCTAACGCTTGCAAGAGCCAGGATCATTTTTAATATAACTCCGACTGGATTCGTCTGAAAGAAGAAAGTCATACACACCTCGGATGCTTCGAGGGACATGGACTAATTTGACTTAATATAGAAAAAGATTAAAAACATTGTAGGAATGAGAGTAAAATATTGAAAAAAAATTTTTTATTAAAATATTGAAAAATATATATATATTTTTTTTACTTTTTGTTAGTTAATGAATATATTAAATTCTACTGTTTGTTTGTTGTTGTTTTTTTTGTTTTTTTCAATAAATGTAATTTCCATCACGTCCCAAATCATTGTTTGTTCTCAGGTGGAAATTACATTTTAAACATTTATGGAATAAACTGCTTCTTTTTTTTTTTTTTCCTTGCCAAGGCTTAATAGCATTCTATCCCTAATACACACAAGGAAATAATATTTATTTTTTATGTAACATATTTTTGTCATTTTTTTTCTGTCATTTTTTTTTTTTTATGAAACTTAATAACATACTGATTGGAAATGAATAAAAATATGTGACATTGAATTTTCTTCACCCTTCACATTTTCTTCACGCCAAAATCATTGTTGAAAATGCAAACTAAAACTTTGTAAAAAGAATATAAAGTTCTTGCATATATTTTCAGTTTTTATTTATTGATTTATTTTAAGTTTTAGTCATTTTATTATGTTTTGTCATTTTTATTAGTTTTTTATATTTTTACTTGGTGTTAATGTATTTTTATTTCAGTTTTAGTACTTCAACTCATTTTATTTTATTTAGTTGACAAGGCATCATTTCTCATTTTTGTATTTCAGCTAGTATTTGTTTTATTTTACCTGAGCTATTTCAGTTAATTAAAATGATTTTTAGTAGTTTTAGGTTCATTAACAGTAGCAGCACTGATCAGTGTGTCTGCTTCTGTGTTTTTATCAGATCGTCGTACGAGGCGGCGCTGGAGTGGGCACTTCCTGTCCAGTTCTGTCACCTGCACGCTCTTCCTCTAAGCCCCGCCTTCCCACAGGACTGCGCTCGTGACGGACAGTGGCTCAACTTCCTGTTGTTTGTACAGCTGCACAATTACCCGCTACAACAGGTGTGTCCGCTACACGAGTCTTGTGATTGGTTCATTATTTGATCACAGGTTTTTGCCCTTTTTTTTCCATTTAAAAAAATCATAATTAAAATTTTAAAAATGATTAAAAAGATTATTTAATGGAATTTTTTGTTGATTTTTCTTTTTCTTTTTTAAATGTGCTGGGATTTTTTTTCAAATATGGAAAAATATTAAAATATTTTTAATTGGATTAAAACATTTTTTTTATTTTATTAAAATATGGGTAAAATATTAAATACATTTACACAATGTGTTTAATTATTATTATATATATATATATATATATATATATTAATTATAATATGTGGGGAACATTAAAAAACTTTTTAAAATTTAAATATAGGAAAAATAAAAAAAAATTAATGGAATACTTTTTTCAGTTTTTCCTGGTTTTTTTGTTTTTTTTTCAGATAGGCCTATTTTTAAAAAAACTCACAGGTAACATGTTATCATTCCAAGGGTGTATAATTTAATAGGGAAGCTCGGGACATGTCCCTACCAATATACAGCGACTACTGATTTTTCCCTTGCCATCATTTTGATCAAACGATTAAATATATGTATATATAACTGCTGTTGTTGTAATTTCACTTTCAGTGGCGCTCATTTAATACATGTGCAGAGTAAGAACATATAAGGTAGCCGAAGTGTTTAAAACATACGTGCACAGTCCAGCTGAATGATAAAGTTTACCCTCTTTGACTTTGTTGTTCTGCTGTTTTGTGTTCATCTGCTTCTCCCATTTGCTCTTTTTACATTGACTATCACTCTATATAGACTAATATAATCAGATACAACAATCATTTCTTAAACATTTATTACAATATATACTGATAAATGTAACATTCACTAAAATGGCATCAGGTGAATGGATGCTTTCAACTGATTTCCTCTTGAACTGTCACCAACTGAATTGTAGTGGTTAAACTACGTAAAATATAGTGAATTAAGCTACAAACTCACTCATAATGCACAATGTTTCCATCTAACATGTATTTTGAGCTGCAGCTCGTCATATTAATGGAGTTAGCAGTAAACCGGTTTCCTCACCTGAATATGTTCGTAGATTTGTGTTTAATGATATCTTTGGAATGGAAATATGGATATTTTATTTGTAAACATCATACTTTTTCCACTTGTTTCAATTAGTCTAACAAAACTAGAGAACTAAGCCAGTAGTAGTACTAACAGTGTTGTGTAAACATGGCTGAAGACGCGACGGGAGGAAATGGAGCGAGTCATTTATGCTGGATTCTAACTCAAACTCGAGACTTCCATAATTCACGTCAAGCGATTCACTAGCAAAACACAGTTCAAAAGAGCCATTCATTTATGAATTTTGGCATCGCTTGGGTGAAACGGAGGCTATAGAAACTATGAATCTAAACCATTGCGTCGCAAAATGATTCACTGTTTCGAAGCGCTTCAATTGGATCAAGTATTGCAAATCATTTGATTCAGATCGGGACTTCAAATCGCGAATCATTTTATTTAGAACGGAACTTCAAATTGCGTATCGCAAATCATTTGATTTATGTCGGAACTTCGCGTATCGCGAATCATTTGATTTTTATCGGAACTTCACGTATCACGAATCATGCGATTTATATCGGAACTTCACGTATCGCGAATCATGCGATTTATATCGGAACTTCACGTATCACGAATCATGCGATTTATATCGGAACTTCACGTATCGCGAATCATGCGATTTATATCGGAACTTCACGTATCGCGAATCATGCGATTTATATCGGAACTTCACGTATCGCGAATCATGCGATTTATATCGGAACTTCACGTATCACGAATCATTTTATTTTTATCGGAACTTTGCGTGTCGTGAATCATTTGATTTATATCGGAACTTCGCGTATCGCGAATCATTTGATTTTTATCGGAACTTCGCGTATCGCGAATCATTTGATTTATATCGGAACTTCGCGTATCGCGAATCATTTGATTTATATCGGAACTTCACATATCGCGAATCATTTTATTTTTATCGGAACTTCGCGTATTGCGAATCATTTGATTTATATAGGAATTTCGCGTCTTTGCGAATCATTCGATTTATATCGGACCTTCGTGTATCGCAAATCATTCGATTTATATTGGGACTTCAAATCGCAAATCATTTGATTTAGAACAGAACTTCAAATTGCGTATAACTTCACATATTGCGAATCATTTGATTCAGATCAGGACATCGCAAATCATTTGATTTATATTGGAACTTCGCGTATTGTGAATCATTTAATTCAGATCAGGACATCGCAAATCTTTTGATTTAGATCGTAACTTCGGAGTGGGTCATTTCGTGAAATGAATAATCTGCGATCCGAAGTCCCAAAGATTGGGAAAACGGAGCGTGGATTGTGAATCATTTGGTGCGGGTTCGCGAATCTTTTGATTCAGATCGGGATTTTGGAGCATGTATTGCAAACCTTTTTCTCTGATTTCTTTTCTTTTTTTTTTTTTAAACAATACAAAAGGGTAGTGAATGACGTCCAGAGGCTCTAAAGACCCGAGGTGCGCATTTAAGGGTTAAACAAAACAAAACAAAGCAAACAAACAAAAACGAAAATCAAACCATTTCTCATTTCTCTTTATTTCTTTTTAAGTAGAAAATCAAATGACCAGAAGGTGCACAGATGTTTTTTTAATTAAAAAAAAAAAAGATTATAAACATTTCAGTGTGATTAAATTTCTTACTATTATTTTTATTTATTTATTTTTTTTTACATTTACATCACATTCACAACCTGACTGTTGCACTGTCATTTTATTTAACATTTACAATAACAGAAGCTTTTAACTTCATATACTTTTGTTGGTTGGTCCAGGTCAGATCTCTGGCAGCCAGTTTCAGTCCGGCTCTGCAGTCGCACATTTCTCTGGCTTTCCAAGATCTTCATCCAACCAGCTCCCATCAGGCTCTGGAGGATCAAGGGAGCGTCGCTCGCGCTCTTCCCCGAGACGAGAGCCCCGAACCCCCCAGAGAGCTGTTCCAGGTGCTGCTGGAGAGCCAGGAGAAGCCCAGTCCCTGGAGGTTCCTGCTGTCCGAAGCGGTCCGTCAGCGCAGTCCTGCTCTGTCTGTGCTGGCAGCCTGCCATCAGGTAAACTAGGGATGCACCGATCCGATACTCAGTGTTGGGATGTAACTAGTTACATGTAACTAAATTACGTAATTTAATTACAAAATAAATGTAATTGTAATCAGTTACAGTTACTGAGAAAAATTGTGTAATTAAATTACAGTTGCTTTTTAAAATGTTAACGATTACAAACAGGGTTACATCTGATTTTTTTTCACACACCCACACACACACACACACACACACACACAGAGACAGAGACACACACACACACACACACACACACACACAGAGACACCAGTGTTTCAGGAGTTTAGGACACAGAATAGGACACTTGCTTATTCAATAGCTGTTTTATTTCTTATTTGGGTTTATGTATATGCTTTATTTTTTAAGATTAACTGTTTTTCCCCCAAGGCATTTTGAGAGAGAGAGTGTGTGAGTGTGTGAGTGTGTGAGTGAGTGAGTGAGTGTGAGTGTGTCTGTGTGTGAGTGAGTGAGTGTCTGTGTGTGGTTTGAGGACACAAATGTGTATAATGACATGGGTACTACAACGTAAACATGGTTTATGAGGACACTTCCTGTGTCCCCGTAAAACAAAAGGCTTAAAAAACATACAAAACGGTGTTTTATGAAATTCAAAAATTGCCAGTAGTTTCCTGTAAGGGGTAGGTTTAGGTGTAGGGTTGGTGTAGGGCGATAGAAAATACAGTTTGTACAGTATAAAAACTATTATGCCTATGGAGAGTCCCCGTAAACCAGAAATGCATGCAAGTGTGTGTGTGTGTGTGGTTTGATTGACAGGCCGCCGAGCTGCTGCAGTGTCTCTGCGTGTGGATCCTGGCGTCTGTCGGTGATGATGTCACTCAGGAAGCCACCGCCCACATCCAGGAGAGCCCCGCCCATCACGTGTGGAACCTCCACGATCTCTCCGTCTTGTGGAAGACGCTGCTGTGCAGGAGCAAGATCAGGCCTCTGATTCGTGGATTCCAGCTCTTTCAGAGGGTAAGAGGCTCTCTGATTGGACGAGAACGTCTCTGATCTGAAATCTACTGAAATGCAGAGCAGATCTCAGATCAGTTTAAAGACGTAACTTGAGTTTCTTTGGCATGCACAACAATTTTAGCGTGCATGATATTTTTCCTTCGTCCACACACTTTATTGGCGACAATATATTATTATATTTTATTATGTAAAATATATTCTACATTATATATTTTAGATTTTATTTAATAAAAAAATATGATTATATTATTTTTTGCAGGTGTCCATGTTACTTTTCACAAAATATATTGTTCAGTGTTGTTTTAGCATTATTTATAGTGTGTGTGTGTGTGTGTGTGTGTGTGTGTGCAGTTGCGGAGCAGCAGTGTGGTGTTGAGTTCAGACGTGCTGCCGGTCCAGTGGGTCGAGTCTCAGGCTTCGGTTCTGCTGCTGACGCTCCTCAAGCAGAGCAGGACTCAGTACGAGCTGCGCCGGCTGCTTCAGCTGCTGGTGGACATGGAGCGACTGCTCAAATCCAATGGTCAGACTCCGATTCGGCATCGATTTTTGCTCTAAACCACGTTTACAAGAGTCCACATTCAGCACTGGGGAAAAAAAGTTTGGAATAATTAGGATTATTAAATGTTTTTGAAACAAGTCTCTTCTGTTCACCAAGGCTGTGTTTATTTGATCAAAAATACAGTAAAAATAGTGAAATATTATTACAATTTAAAATGACTTTTTTTTTTGGTGAATATATGTTAAAATATAATTTATTTCTGTGTTCAAAGCTGAATTTTCAGCATCATTACTCCAGTCTTCAGTGTCACATGATCTTCAGAAATCATTCTAATATACAGATTTGATGCTCAAGAAACATTTCTGATTATTATCAATAAAAACTTCTTACCGACCCCAAACTTTTGAACAATAGTTTTAGTAGTATGAAAATATAAACTTTTTTTTATAACGGGAAAGTGCTATATTCTGTGAATTAGGGTTATTGTCGTTAAGTAGAACTAAAAGTAAAACCATAAAAAATGTTAATTACTTGAAATGAACATTAACTGAAATAAAACATAAAAAAACTTTGCCAAGGCAACTTTCTAATTTTTATTCAGTTTAAGCTGAGGTACTAAAACAATTAAAATAAATGAATAAAAATAAATAAAACATATACAAACTTTATAGTAGGGGTGTAACGGTACACAAACATGACGGTTCGGTACGTACCTCGGTTTTGACGTCACGGTTCGGTATGATTTCGGTACAGCAGGAAGAAAAACTTAACTTTTTTTTTTTTATTTTATTATTATTATCTTTAATTGAAAAAGTTGCTCTTTAACTGAAAAAGTTGCTCTTTCTTTAAATAAATTAAATTATAGCTAAAATTTTCTTAGGAATAAAAATCTACCTCGGCTTCTGCTCTAAACTGAACTATAGTGAGCCCTTTTACATTACTATAAAATTACAATTAACAACAGAGCCTAAACGTAAATTTAATTACTATTTCTTTTTTAATTATAATAGTCAACCCTCAACTTAAAGAAAAATTGTATGCAAACATTGCACATAATGCAGTTTTTAAACAAACTTCTGAATTATAACATTTCTATTTGTTGTTGAAATATATTCATATAAAAACATAAAGAAATGTTTGGTACGAATACATGTACCGTTAAACCCTACTATATAGACACATTTAAAGGAAAAATGTAATATAATGTCAAAAACATACAACAAAACTTTAAAAGGCAAACAAAAAATACAAAAATAAAATGAAAATGAAAACCAAAAATATAAAAAATAAAATGAAAACAGAACATGTCTAAATAAAATGAAAATGAAAACAAAAAAATATAAAAATGTACATAAAAACAGAAAATGTAAAAATAAAATGAAAACAGAAAATATAAAAAATGTAAATAAAAACATAAAATCAAAAAGTAAAATTAAAAGTAAAAAAAAATTAAAACAAATCTAATAAAAAGGACAAAAATATACGGTCCGTGTACTTTTGCGTCCATTCGTTTTTCGTTTTTTAACCACGACGGGAAAAAATGAAAAAAGAACGGTTATTGTTTTTAAATGCTATGCTGAAAACCAAAACTGAAAGTAGAACCGTACACACAAAATGCTGCCCGAAAAAGTTAAATATTGACTTCTTTTCAGATTTTTGTTAATGCACAGTGTTTTTGCACTTTTAATAAACATTTGAAAAATGCACAAATTAATATAGAAAAATGTCGATTTTAACTAATTTTCTTTGGCCAAATTTAGCAATGCTTCTTCCATTCTCCATAGTTGAGAACTAGAGGCATCTTTGGAACAATGCAGAGACTTAATACGTCCGTGTACTTTTGCGTCCATTCGTTTTTCGTTTTTTAACCACGACGGGAAAAAATGAAAAAAGAACGGTTATTGTTTTTAAATGCTATGCTGAAAACCAAAACTGAAAGTAGAACCGTACACACAAAATGCTGCCCGAAAAAGTTAAATATTGACTTCTTTTCAGATTTTTGTTAATGCACAGTGTTTTTGCACTTTTAATAAACATTTGAAAAATGCACAAATTAATATAGAAAAATGTCGATTTTAACTAATTTTCTTTGGCCAAATTTAGCAATGCTTCTTCCGCACGTTCAGTTGAGAACTAGAGGCATCTTTGGAACAATGCAGAGACTTAATACAAATATGATTTTTAAAATAGACATTGCATAATCCTGGGAAATCTATCATCATGAAATTATATATTGGGATAATTTTGTAATTTTGTGTGCTATGTGGGTACGTTATCGGAGAGCATGGTCGCTCGATGCACGTACAGTAGGCTACACACTGTGTTAGAGCACTACATACGGTTTAATATATGGGGTACATATATATATATATAGGCTAATATAGAAATATATAAAGTTATAATCTCCAGATACAGGCAGGCCCGGTTCCTGAATAAAATCAGTGAGAGTGCTCTAGCCTTATACGTCAGTATTATTTGTGATTTAAATTTTGTGAATGGGAATTCCTCTTTTGCTGTGTTATAAGCTGGACTTTAGACGTTTTTACGTTCGCTTTCAAATTCGCAATCTTGTCCCGTTTTACAAGAAAAGATAGTTGTCTGTTTTGCTTATATCTATACACCTTTCACTTTTTAAGACTAAAACAAAAGATGGATTCATTGTTATTATTAATTAAAAAGCACAACAACAATAAAACCGTAAGCTATAATGACAAACTAGAGTACATAACGTTTATTAACAAAAACGAATAAAATGAGGCATGGCTCCACATGCTGTATTTTATACAGACTATTAAGTTACAGAAGGTTTAGCAAACCTTCCAATAGGTCCAATAGCATCATGAAAAAAAAAATTATTAACATTCTGAATGGATTTAGCCAAGAGAGCGCGCAGAGCTAATAATTATAAAGCTGTCATTCATTTCAGTTTATCGCGATCTCACAAATATCCGTTATCCAATGAGGCTCTACTCTGCACAATGAATCTCTTATTTACATCATGTATAAAATGAGAGACTCTTGAGGGTGCAGCACTGAACAAAACTGTGGCTTGGAGTTGATTCTAGCTTAAAAGCTTGGCCACTCAGGAAATCAACATTACATGTCAGTGATGGTTATTGATCAGTGCTACAAAACACACTGAAAATAGAAACCTCCAGGGTTCAAACACAAATACACACAGGAGCGTTTGGAAAATATGTTTCGCCAGTGTCCTATTTCTAGCTTTAACCAAAGTCTCTTGCTTTCGTTTCGTTCCCTCCCGTAGAACTTGCCCAGGATACAGTTATTTGCAAAGAAATTAGTATTTCATTGGCTACATGTTTTTAGGCGTGAAAAATTAAGATCATAAAAATATAAGGTTTTCATAAAGCAGTTATGGTAGCCACGTCACGTCAGCTAGCGTCTGTATAGGGACGCTTAAAAAGGTAGAAATTAAATGTAGCATTTGTATACATTAAAAAACAGCTTTGTATCATTTTTACGATTTTTAATGAAATACGAATTTTGAATAATGAAAATGAGTTTGTGTCTGCTTATTCTATTCATCAGTGTTTGAAACATTAAAGGAGAAACCGCATTTCATTTCTGAGTTAAAAAACTAAAAATGAATGGACGCAAAAGTACACGGACCATATACAACAAAGTTACTGAAACCTAAGAATTAAACGGAAAACAGGAAATGTAAAATGTAAAAAAAAAGAAAAACGAAAATATAACATTAAAATGAAAAGAGAATATATAAAAAAAAATCAATTGTAATAACATTTCGCAGTATTACTGTTTTTACTGTATAAATGCAAAATATAAAATTAAAATGAAAACAGAAAATGTAAAAAAAAAAAATGAAAACAGAAAATATAACATTAAAATTAAAAGAGAATGTATTTTAAAAATTCAATTTTAATAAAATTTTGCAGCATTACTGTTTTTACTGTATAAATATACAATTTAAATTAAAACAGAAAATGTAAAAAAAAAAAAACGAAAATATAACATTAAAATGAAAAGAGAATATATAAAAAAAAATTCAATTGTAATCAAATTTCACAGTATTACTGTTTTTACTGTATAAATGCATCCTCGGTGAGCAGAAGAGACTTGTTTCAAAAGCATTAAAGCACAGTGATTGTTCCAGGCTTTTGAGCGCTAGTGTGATGTGTGTGCAGGGCCTGACTTCAGGAAGCTGAGTCAGCTGAGTCAGGTGCTGTCGGACACTCCTGTGCCGTTGTCTGCGCATCTGCTGGACCAGTACTCCAGCGCCGGCCTACAGGACGAGTGCAGGACCATCATGCAGCAGCTGCAGGACCTCGGCCTCTTCACGCAGGCCAGGACCGTCGCGCAGCTGGCCGAGCTGCCCATCGACTGCCTGATCATAAAGGAGGTGACGCTTTAGAGCAAATCTGGGATCAAATTGGATAATTAAATAATAATGAAGTAATTCATGATATGCACATTGTATCTACTCCTGATGAGGAATAGCAATAAATCTTGTCATAAAATACTTCCTTTAGCTCTTATATGAGGTAGTATAGGATTGTGCAACCAAACTACTTTTCCCATAAATCTGTGCAGGAACGAATAAAATGCACAAATAAAACATCAATCAGTTTGCATCTGCACTAAAAAAAAAGCTTCCTGTGAAATATGTAATTGGCCAACGTGATAATTTTATTGTGACTAAAATCATTTAATGATCATGTCATAATTTACAGAATTATGTATGTAGGGCTGATATCACAATTATTAATTCTTAAATATATGTTTGATGCCCTATGGCTTTCTGCCAAAATAAAAGCTCAATGGTTTCACGTTTGAAATTAATTGAGACATAAATAATTTAGATATAGTAATTTTACAGTTGTACTATAAAATTATTCTTCCTATTGTTTTTCTTAGATTTTTTTTATAGTGAAATGTTACAATGATTTTTTTTCTTTGCATAATTTGTTTTATTTATTTAATTACATTACTTTGATTTCATTTGTAATAATGAGAAGAAGAATCATTATTTCTTATTATTTTCCTATTTTCTTTTTTTCACATTGAAGTATTGCAATAATAATGTTATTATGTTTGATTTTCTTAAGAGGAATTATTATTTTCTTAAGTATTGCATTTTATTTCACCGTGAAATATTACAATAATAAAATGATGTTTAATAATAATTATTATGAATAATAATAATAATATATTTTTTCTTAAATATTAGATTTTTGTTTTACAGCAAATTATTGCAATTGCAATATTACTTTGTTTTATTTTAATAAGACGACGAATAGGAGTAAGACATTTTTTATTATTATTATTATTATTATTAAATTATTTTTGTTTTACAGTGAAATATTACAATGGTAACATTTTGTTTGTTTTTTAGTAGTAGTAGTAGCAGTAATATAATAACATTTTATTTATTTATTTATTTTGTCGTCAAATTGATATATAATCACAGGTTTGTGGTGAAATTGTGAATCCCTAAATTTATGAAATGTGAAATTTATGAAATGCGACTGCGAAATCCAGGCTAAAGTCTCAAAATCTAATTATGAGATAACAAGCATCAGTTTGATTTCAACTATTAATTTCACTATGATTTCAATCTTTGACATGTTCTTACTCAGTCAATATTAAAGATATAAAGGCTATTTTCACAGAATGTTCTTTACATCTTTATGAAGGATGATTTTATGTAGAAAACAGTAAATCACAAAAAAATGACTTTAGCTGGGTTTTCACAGACAGGGTCACAAATGACCTCCAGAAATACAAGTTGGCCTTTAGGGAACACCATAAGCTGCTGCAGAAGTGCTAAGCGAGGAGCTTCTGTCCTCTTTTTCCCGGCAGCTGCTGCGAGATCTGTGCACTCATCAGCAGAAGCGTCAGTGGGAGAGGCAGGAGACGCGGCTGGCCTTCTGGAGGAGATGCCACGAGCAGCTCAAGACAGATTGCGTCCAGCCCGAGGCGGCCTCTCAGTTCTTCCTGACTCAGGCTGAGGTCAGGCTTTCTGTTCTGTCTCCTTTCACCTCAAAACCTTGCTAAAGCATTATTAACAGTCACCAGTCAGGGCCATGTTTGTCATGATGCTTGCTTCACCTGTGATGTGAGGCTGTGCAACCACACTACATTTACCATAATTCTCTGTGACAATGCAACAATAGTCAAATACACAGATAAAATGTCAATCGTATGCATCATTTGCATTATTTTGTTGCATCGGCACTAAAAAGCTTCCTGTGTTTGTGTGAAATATTATTCTGACTAAAATCATGTCATAAGTTACATATTTATGTAGGGCTGCACAATAAATTGTGATATTACAAAATGGCTTTCAAAATAAAAACATGATCGTTTCACATTTGTCTCACGATCGTTTCAAACTATTAATCAGATTTTATTCAGTACTGAAATATGTTATTAAAAACACAGTTTAATTTAATTAGAAATTGACTTTTAAAAATGTGTTAACATTACGTTTATAGAGTGAAAATTATTATTATTATTATTATTATTGTTTTCTTTTTAAATATATTAAATATTTGTTATTATAATTTATCATCATCATCATTTTTTCATGTTTCTTAAATATTAGAATTTTTTTCTTTCACGATGAAAAAAATGGTTTGATATTTCTCTAGTAATAACTAAATATACTAAATATTATATTATATTCTAATTATTATAGCAATAATTGTAGTAAACGTAGTTATTATTTTATTATCATTATTTATATTAATACTATTATTATTATATTATTTTATTTATTTTACATTGAAATCTTACATTGGTAATTATTTTGTTTGATTTTTTTTAATAACATTATTATTATTATTATTTTCTTAATTGTTAGATGTTTATTTTACAGTGAAATCTTACATTGGTAATTTTTTGTTTGATTTTTTTGTAATAATATTATTATAATTTTTATTATTATTATTTTCTTAATTGTTAGATGTTTATTTTACAGTGAAATCTTACATTGGTAATTTTTTGTTTGATTTTTTTGTAATAATATTATTATAATTTTTATTATTATTATTTTCTTAATTGTTAGATGTTTATTTTACAGTGAAATCTTACATTGGTAATTTTTTGTTTGATTTTTTTGTAATAATATTATTATAATTTTTATTATTATTATTTTCTTAATTGTTAGATGTTTATTTTACAGTGAAATCTTACATTGGTAATTTTTTTGTTTGATATTTTGTAATAACAATAATATTATTATTATTATTATTATTTTCTTAATTGTTAGATGTTTATTTTACATTGAAATCTTACATTGGTAATTTTTTTTATTTGATTTTTTGGTAATAATAATAATAGTTATTATTATTAGTTTCTTAAGTGTTAGATGTTTTTTTTTTTACAGTGCAATCTTAGCGGTAGCAATTATTTTGTTTGATGTTTTGGTAATATTATTATTATTATTTGTAATGGTAATAATTATTTTAGTAACAATTAGTAATACTACTAATAATAATAACATTTTCTTAAGTTATTTTACAGTGAAATAGTACTATGATAATTATTGTGTTTGATTTTTTTTGGTTAAAATAATTATTGCAGTAGTAATAATAACAATCATTATTATTATTGTTGTATTTTGCAAACAGCATTGGTGTTTCTCAGCGTTACTGAATGCCGTGTTGTCCCGCTCAGGAGCCGCAGGGGTCGGGTTCGGAGCTGGTTCATCTGCAGGAGCGCTGTCTGCTGTTGGGTCTGGCGGGTCACTGGCTGTCCCTGCGTGATCCTCTGCTACCCGTCTGGCGTCTCGCCACGCTGGAGGAGCGTCAGTGGCAGAGTCGCATCCGCTGGCTGCTGCTTCACACGGCTCTGGAGCGCCAGAGTCTGTTCGCGCCCTCGGCCCTCTCCCACGACTCCTTCCAGAGCCTCCTCCAGGAGTTCTCCTTCTCCAGGACGGCGGCTCTGGACGAGCCGGCTCATCTGAGTGTGGCCGGGCTCCCAGCGGCCGAGGACGACTGCCTGCTGTCTGCAGACGAGCGCAAGGCTCTGGCCGCGCTGGTGGCCCAGCTGCTGGACGAGGGCGGCGTGAGCGAGGCCAGTCGCGTCTGCAGGTATTTCCGTTTGTTTCACAGAGACGTGTGGCTGGTCCTGAAGTGTCGCGGTCTGGCGAGCGGAGAGCTGCAGCCTGAGCTTCACAGCCCTGATGGAGAAACCAGACGCAGTTTGCCATCATGTGAGCCATTTCATCTGCTTTCATGATCTTGTTGAAAAATATTGGTAGCTAGTCAGTATTTCATTTTAAAACGCATAGTTCCGGTCCTTGATTCTGATTGGTTGAGCCGCGTTCGAAGCTGTTGTAAATTACTCTACAATAGGGGTGTGCGATATTGACAAAAAATAATATCTCGATATTTTCTGGGATTTTATCGATGACGATAATTAGACGATATTTTGCTGAGTGTGTTATTGTGCTGGTACCTTAAGGACTGCCGAAGACAGCTGACTCATAATGTTTTTAATATTCTTCATATTCTGTGTGGTGGTCAGCTCATACTGATAGAAATTAATCTTTTCCAATAAGTTTAAACCGATTTTTACATTTTATGTGCATTTTTACCTTTATAAAGCCATTTTTTCTAGAAGTGTCCATTATCTTTTGAGTTAAATTCTTACATTTAATCAGGGAATTAGAATAATAAGACATTTGGGCTGTTACCAAGCAAATGAAATCAACACAGAAGCTGCATCTGAAGTGGCATTTAGATGTATTTACACACATGTATTCTGTTTAATGCAAGACATGAATGCATTTAACCTACAATTACAAATGCATAAATAATGTTTTGATATATTAAACATAAAACGTTGAATACTGATATTTGAAATGATTTAAAACATGAAAAAAATCTATTAAAAAAAAGAAAAGCCGAAATGTGAAATTAAAACCGCCAGTAGGTGGCAGCAAATCCCTCTTAATAAGTGAGTCATTGCGATTGAACCGAATCATTTAAACGCTTGATTCATTCAAGAACGAAACACCGTCATGTTGCTCAAGAGACACAAAACAGCACTGTGGCTGTATTTGGGATGATTTTTGTTGGCGAAATAGAGCAAAAACAAGCAATATGGTGTCTAAAACGTAAGTCTCTTAATTAACTTATTGTTTATTGAATTCAATGTCACATTTGTAATCATGGTATTTTTTGGAGAAAAACGGCACTCTTCATGTGAAATTGAATAACTACACCTTTGTTTACGTCTGTGTGTTGCTCGTCAACCACTTTGTTGCAACCACAACTGATTCTGAGGAACTACATTGTTTGGTGGAAGAATACTGTTTTTATTAATATCATTACACTTTATTTGCTCTGTTTTATTTTGTGAAACCTTACTATGTATATGGAATAACCGTTTTATAAAAGCAATAAGCCCCGTGAAGCTCCGTGCCTAACCAACACCCCTTAGCTGTTATAAATTCACTGTAAACCACGGCTTCTTGGGGCTTATTGCTTTAATATTACATGCACTTTCACAACACAAGAGTTGGGGTCGGTAAGATTTTTGAAAGAGGTGTTTTATGGTCATCAGGGTTACATTTATTTGATCGAAACGTACAACAAAATCAGTAATATTGTGAAATATTATTACAATTTAAAGTAGTTATTTTCGGTGTTCATATATTTTAAGATGTAATTTATTCCTGTGATGCAAAGCTGAATTTTCTTCATTTTATTTAACGCTGAAACATATCCTTAAAAATATATGCACATTAATCAAATGCACACACACATACTAGCTCAAATTTTTCATTAGTGTCCAATATTTCTATTTTTCTTTTTTTTTTGCTTTATTTATTAAAAAGCATGTTGTTAGCTTAGCAGCATGTTAATGGCCAGTTATTAATCACATTTTCTATTCAACACTGAAATGTGTCATTAAATACCTAGTTTAATCTAATTAAAAATGGACTATTTTGCCTGATATTTGTGAACCTGATATTTGTGTGTATTTTTTATTTACAAATGGCTATTATTTTAATCACATTTTATTTAACAATCAACAGAAAATTGTTCCATATTTATTACAAAGAAAACATTTTACCCAATAATTCTGTTTATTTTATGTATTTTTAAGGGTATTGAGTCATTAGCTTAGCAATATGCTAATGGCATGAGTGATATTTTAATATATAGAAAATTGTTTTATAATATTACGAAGCAAACATTTCACCCAATAATTATGTGTATTTGCTCTATTTTATGTTTATTGGCGTATTGAATCAATAGCTTAGCAACATGCTAATGGCAAACTAATATTTTAATCACATTTTATTTAGTACTGAAAAAACTGCAGAAAATTGTTCCGTCTTATCACAAAAAAAATAATTTACAATTCACTTGTTAGCTTAGCAACATGCTAAAGAAAAATTTGTTTTTATCGCATTTTATATTCAGTCCTGAAAATAATCTTATTACAAATCAAACATTTCTCCCAGTAATTCTGTGTATTTCTGCAGAAAATTGTTCCGTCATATCACAAAAAAAATAATTTACAATTCACTTGTTAGCTTAGCAACATGCTAAAGAAAAATTTGTTTTTATCGCATTTTATATTCAGAAAATTGTTCCGTCTTATTACAAATCAAACATTTCTCCCAGTAATTCTGTGTATTTGATGTATTTTTAAGCATACTGCGTCGTTAGCTTAGCGACATGCTAACGGAAAACTGTTGTTTTATTCAGCCACAAAAAGAATCTACAGAAAATTGTTCCGTCTTATTACAAATCAAACATTTCTCCCAGTAATTCTGTGTATTTGATGTATTTTTAAGCATATCGCGTCGTTAGCTTAGCGACATGCTAACGGCAAACTCTTGTTTTATTTAGCCACGATAAGAATCTACAGAAAATTGTTCCGTCTTATTACAAATCAAACATTTCTCCCAGTAATTCTGTGTATTTGATGTATTTTTAAGCGTATCGCGTCGTTAGCTTAGCGACATGCTAACGGCAAACTCTTGTTTTATTTAGCCACGATAAGAATCTAAAGAAAATTGTTCCGTCTTATTACAAATCAAACATTTCTCCCAGTAATTTCTGTGTATTTTATGTATTTTTAAGCATATCGCGTCGTTAGCTTAGCGACATGCTAACGGCAAACTCTTGTTTTATTTAGCCACGAAAAGAATCTACAGAAAATTGTTCCGTCTTATTACAAATCAAACATTTCTCCCAGTAATTCTGTGTATTTTATGTATTTTTAAGCATATAGCGTCATTAGCTTAGCGACATGCTAACGGCAAACTCTTGTTTTATTTAACCACGATAAGAATCTACAGAAAATTGTTCCGTCTTATTACAAATCAAACATTTCTCCCAGTAATTCTGTGTATTTGATGTATTTTTAAGCATATTGCGTCGTTAGCTTAGCGACATGCTAACGGAAAACTATTGTTTTATTCAGCCACGAAAATAATCTACAGAAAATTGTTCCGTCTTATTACAAATCAAACATTTCTCCCAGTAATTCTGTGTATTTGATGTATTTTTAAGCATATTGCGTCGTTAGCTTAGCGACATGCTAACGGAAAACTATTGTTTCATTCAGCCAAGAAAAGATTCTAAAGAAAATTGTTTTATAATATTACAAAGCAAACATTTCACCCAATAATTCTGTGCATTTGCTCTATTTTATGTTTATTGGCGTATCGAGTAAATAGCTTAGCAACATGCTAATGGCAAACTAATATTTTAATAACATTTTATTTAGTACTGAAAAAAACTGCAGAATATTGTTCAGAATATTGAGTTGTTAGCTTAGCGACATGCTAACGGCAAACCATTGTTTTATTCAGCCACGAAAAGAATCTACAGAAAATTGTCCCGTCTTATTACAAAGCAAACATTTCTCCCAGTAATTCTGTGTATTTGATGTATTTTTAAGCATATTGTGGCGTTAGCTTAGTGACATGCTAACGGAAAACCATTGTTTTATTTAGCCACGATAAGAATCTACAGAAAATTGTTCCGTCTTATTACAAAGCAAACATTTCTAGAAGTAATTGTGTATTTTATGCAGTTTTGAGAGTAAGTCTTTAGCTTAGCGACATGCTAACGGCAGACTCTTCTCTCTGAAGCTCCTAGCATGAGCAGCCTGTCGTCGTTCGTGGTGGTGCCGTCGCCAGACGATCAGGTTCTGGTTCAGCTCAAACATCTGGTGGATCAGTGCTGCAACGGCAAGAGTTACTGCAAACAAGTGCTCAGCCTCTACGAGCTCTCGAAGGTGCGTAACATCTGTAAAATGTGACCCTGGAGCACAAAAGCAGTCTTAAGTCGCTGGGGTATATTTGTAGCAATAGCCAAAAATACATTGTATGGGTCAAAATTATCGATTTTTCTTTTATGCCAAAAATCATTAGGATATTAAGTAAAAATCATGTTCCATGAAGATATTTTGTGAATTTCCTACAGTAAATATATCAAAACTTAATTTTTGATTGGTAATATGCATTGCTAAGAACTTCATTTGGACAACTTTAAAGGTGATTTTCTCAATATTTAGATTTTTTTGCACCCTCAGATTCCAGATTTTCAAATATTGTCCGATCCTAACAAACCATACATCAATGGAAAGCTTATGTATTCAGCTCTCAGATGATTGACTGGTTCTGTGGTCCAGTGTCACAAATACTGCGTGAGTCTGTGAATGTGTGTGAAGCGTGACGCTGGTGTCTGTGTGCAGGAGCTGCAGTGCTCGTTCGCTGAGATCTCGTCGGAGGAGCCCGAGGCTGTTCTGAGGAAGGTCCTGCTCTCGCAGCAGGTCGACCGCTATAAGCGCGCTCAGGCCTTCATCAGTGTGCAGGGCCTGCAGCCCGACGCCGTCGCCCGGCTCGTCTCCACCGCTGTGCTGGAGGGTTTGCTCGCCTCGGCTCAGGAGGGAGAAACCGGTGAGAAATCAGCTTCATTTCTTCAGGGATTATTGCGGTTATAGTTCTTTTTATAAATATGATGACCCTAAAAAGAGTAGAAGGGCTTCTGATTGATTGATAGATTTTTTTTTTCATAAGCTGTATTTATTTTAGTATCATTTGATATACTGTTATATTTTTGTTAATATTTTTAATTAGACTTTTTTTATTTGTTTTCATTTTATATTTATATTTTATGTTTTCATTTTAATTTAATTTTTACATTTTCTGTTTTCATTTTAAATTTATTTGTATTTTGTTTTCTTTTTAATTTTATAATTTCTGTTTGCATTTAAATTTTTCACAAATATTTTCTGTTTTTATCTATTCTTTTGTTTTAATTTGTTTTAATTCTAATTTCATTTTAATTTAAGTTTTCTATTTTCTGTTTTCATTTTATGTTTATAGTTTGTTTTATTTTAATTTTAATTTTAAGGTTTTAGTAATTTTGTTGTGTTTTTGTTTGTTGTTGTTTTTAAATGTCTATATAGTTTTTATTAAGGTTTTGTTTTTAGTTTTACTTGTTTTAATTTTTTATATTTTATTTTATTTTAGTACATGTTTATTTATGTTATGAACATATTTTTGTGGTTTTAAATTTAAGTACATTGCAATTTTTCATTATTAAAACTTTTTGATACTTTCATGCAAATGCATACATTACTGTTCAAAAGTTTGGGTTTGGTAAGATTTTATTTTATTTTATTTATTGATTTTGAAAGAAGTCTCTTCTGCTCATCAGGGCTGCATTTATTTGATCAAAAATACAGTAAAAACAGTAAATTTGTGAAATATTATTGCAATTTCAAATAGCTGTGTTCTATGTGAATATACTGTAAAGTGTAATTTATTTCTGTGATGCGCAGCTGTATTTTCAGCATCATTACTCCAGTCTTCAGTGTCACATGATCTTCAGAAATCATTCTAATATGCTGATTTGATGCTCAAGAAACATTTCTGATTATTATCAATGTTGAAAACAGTTGTGCTGCACAATATTTTTGTGGAAACTGATAGACATTACATTTTTCAGGATTCTTTAATGAATAGACAGCATTGATTTGTAATAGAAATGTCTTGTAACAATATAAATGCCTCTACGGTGGCTGCTGCGAGTGTGTGAGTAATGTGTGTGTGTTCAGGAGAGCGGCTGATGTACGGCCCAGCCGACGGGAGAGACACGTTCCTCCAGCTGGCCAAACTGTGTGGAGACCCAAACCTGGTCGGCACCAAACTGATGGACAGCATCCCGACCGTCCCGCGGTCAGAGCTCAGCTGCAGTGAGTACCAACCACTGCACTCAATCACTCTTACCCACAATGCTCTGCTCTCTGCAGGGACACTGACAGAGATCTCTCTTCCCATTTGTGATTAGTTTAGATTTTATTTTATTCTTTTTGTTTGTTTGTGTGTAATGTACCGTCAGTTTAATTATTTTTTTTTATTAATTTTTTTTTTTTTACGGTAGTTAACAATAATTTAATTTTTTTCTTACCATTTTGATTAGTTTATAGTTGTTTTTTTTTTTTTTTCTGTATTGTACTGTCATGTAATTTGATTACTGTAGTTGTAGTTTTTGTAATCCAGTTTTTGATTAGTTTAGTTTAGTTACTATTTTTTGTATTATTGTTTTATATTATTTTATTGTTTTGTTTTTTATTTTTTTATTTTTTTATTTTATTCTGTAATGTACTGTCATGTAATTTGATTTTTATTTATTTTTTTATTATTTTTGTTATTTTAAATATTTTTGTATTTTATTCTGTAATGTACTCACATAATTTGATTTAGTTTTTTACCGTTTTACGGTTATAGTGTTCGTATCCCATTTTTAATTATATTTTATATATTTTTTTTATTCTTAGTTATTATTTTATATTTTATTTTTATTTAATTTTTTTACTTCATGTAATTTGATTTTGATATTACCGTAGATTTGATATAGTTTTCTATTCCCATTTTTTTATTTTAGATGATTGTTTTATATTATTGTATTATTTAGTTTTATTTAATGTATTATTTATTGTATTATTTATTTTATTCAGTAATGTACCGTCATGTAACTTGATTTTGTTTTTGCTGTAGTATAGTTAGTTTCCTCCTCCCATTTTTGTTGTTTATTTATTTATTGTTTTTATATCATCGTATATGTAATAATATGTAATGTAATACTGCATGTAATTTAATGTTATTTTTGCTTTAGTGTAGTTTAGTTTGATTTAGTCTTACACAATTATTTTTCTCTGAATCCCTTTGTTATTAGTGTACTTCAGTTTATTACCATTCTACTCACATTATATGAAGTTAAACTGCGAATGCTTAGGCAAAGTAAATGTCCGTGTGAAAGTATAAATATAAATGTGAATGTTAATCGTCTGTCTGTGTGCAGCTGTGGAGATCTTGATTTTGGCTCATGACTGCTTCAGTCTCACCTGTAACATGGAGGGAATCGTGAGGGTCCTGCAGGCAGCCAGACACCTGAGTCACACACACCTGGCTCACGGCGACGGCTACGGACTCCTGGTGAGTTCATGAAGGCCAGGAAACCTCTGAATCAGTCAAAAGCCTGGAATATCATTAGCTTTACTCTCTCTACAGGTGCGTCTCCTCACAGGTATCGGCAGGTACAATGAAATGACGTACGTCTTTGACCTGCTCCATCAGAACCATCGCTTCGAGATGCTGCTGAGGAAGAAGGTCGAGTCGGTGAGAGATCGAGTGTCAATGCATCTCATACAAAATACAGAAATGATGAAAATGTACAGGATAGTTTCCACCAAGGGGCAGTAAAATATAAAAAGGTAACTTTTTATCTTACAATTCTGACTTTTTCTCGCAATTCAAATTTCAAAATTATAGAAATAAACTCGCAATTCTAAAAAGAAGAAAAGTCAGAATTGTGAGATGAAAAGTCAGTTACCTTTTTTTATGCTGTGGCGGAAACAAAAAACAATTGTGAGATATAATCTCAGAATTGCGAGGAAAAAGGTCAGAATTTTGACTTTTTTGACAATTTTGACTTTTTTTCAAAGTCAAAAAAATTGACAGAATTCTGAGTTTATATTAAATTGCAAGAGAAAAAGTCAAAATTGTGAGAAATTCCAAATTGCGAGAAGAAGAAAAAGAATTGTGAGACCATTAAAATTGCAAAAAAGTCCAAATTGAGATATCTAAACTCAGAATTGATAGAAAAATTCAAAATTGTGAGCTATAAACGTAGAATTGCGAGAAGAAAATAAAAATTGCGAGATATAAACTAAAAAGTAAAAAACATTGATTGTGAGATATTAACTGAGAATTGCGAAAAAAGTAACAATTGCAAGGTATAAACTCAGAATTGCAAGGGGGAAAAAGTCTAAATTGCGAGGAAAAAAGACTAAATGTAAGATATAAACTCAGAATTGCGGGGGGAAAAAAGAATTGCGAGATATAAACTCAGAATAGCGAGACCATTAAAATTGCAAAAAAAGTCAAAATTGTGATATCTAAACTCGGAATTGATAGAAAAATTCAAAATTGCGAGCTATACATGTAGAATTGCGAAAAAGTCAATTGCGAGATATAAACTCAGAATTGCGAGATATAAACTAAAAAGTCAAAATTGCAAGGACAAAATAGTGATATCTAGACTCAGAATTGTGAGGAAAAAAGTCAAAATTGTGTGATATGAACTCAGAATTGCAAGAAAAAGTCAAAATTGTGAGATATTAACTGAGAATTGCGAAAAAAGTAACAATTGCTAGGTATAAACTCAGAATTGCAAGGGAGAAAAAAATCTAAATTGCGAGGAAAAAGGCAAAATTGCGAGATATAAACTCGGAATACTTTTCTATGTGAATATATTGTAAAATGTAATTTATTCCTATGATCAAAGCTGAATTTTCAGCATCATTACTCCAGATACTGAGGAAGAAAGTGGAGTCGTTATTTTGCTGTTTTCTGACTCCGTAATAAATGTCCAGCACATCCAGATCTGAAAGTGTGTGTGTGTGTGTCTCTCTGTGTGTCTCTCTGTGTGTGTCTCTGTGTGTGTGTGTGTGTGTGTGTGTGTGTGTGTGTGTGTGTGTGT